CCATCTGTCTCAGAAGGTCCTCTCAACTAACACAAGATCTATCCAGTCCAAAAAAAAGGGGGGGGGAGGGCTGTGCAACGACCATTCTCATCCACCCGCTGGGCTCGTGAATATCCACCCCCACCACAAACATAATCGCTTCCCACCCCTAACCCCCAACTCAACGTCTCCCCTCAGGCCAGGAAGACCCACACACACACCCCTCTCCTCTCACCTCTTGGGCAGCTCCAGCCGAAGCGTCGCCTGAACCGGAAGCCCTTCCTCACACACTCACACACGCCCCTCCCACCGGAAGTGCTTTCTCCTTGACACGGAGCAGAAGAAAAAACTTTTTTATTTTTCACTGGCGGGAATTCGATTCTTAGAGGCGAGGATGGATTTCATGTGTGTGTATAAAATGATAACGTATTAAAGCGTCGTACGTGGGGGGGGCGGCGCGAGGGAGGACGTAACCTCCGGGCCCTTCTTTCCCGGGGCAGCAAAGAAAGGCACGGGGGGGCGGAGTCAACGTGAAGGGGCGGGGTTTCTGTTCAGTTCGAGTCGCTGCGTGAGGCAGAGAAGACTCGAAGGTGATGGGAGAGCAATGGAAGGATTCATTGGAAGAAATTAGACTAGGTCGACGTCTGGGCGAGCACGTCAGCCCAAAACGAAACAAGCATAAACAGAAATAAAGACGGCCAAAACGTTGTGGCACCTTAAATACTAACTGTTTTATTGTAAGAGTGAACTTTCGTGGACAAGTTGCAGTTGAAGAAAGCAAGTTCTTCCTTTATTGCTTGGAGGTTGGGTATATTGATTATCGGACTTTGGATGCAGCACCTTTAAATAAGGACTGCTCTTGAGCATAAAAGCAGTGAGAAAGGTTAAGATGCCTTTGCTCTTCCAGAGCAATCTCTCTACGAAACATTTCCTGGTCATCTTTCAGACAACTCTTTTCTACTGCTCTCCACACAAGCTCTCCTTTTCTGCTTATTTAGTGATTCAATATTTATCTACAGACTGACATGCCACCTTCTGGGTAAAACTCTTTCATAGTGGTTTATGAAAGAATAGGAACCATGAAATGATTTTAAACATTAAAAAAAAGCAGAGGGGAAAGCCACAGGTTAACACACTTTAAACACAGTTTAAAACAATTAAATATTTACATTGTGTTTTTAAAAAATTACTAAAATGAGGTCACAAACTCTTCTTTGGGAGAGATTTTTCAAAAGTAAGTGGGCCACAACTTGAAGAGGCTCCATTTCAGGTCTTCACCCATCTTGGATTTTGATCATCACATGCAAATCGAGCCTCCAGAGACTGATAGAAAGACTTAGACAAATTCGTAAATGTGCAGGTGACTTGGTCCTATACTCTGTAAGTCACTTGAGGATGGCACACTTTTAGCTGAGTCAAGAAAACAACACATCACTTGTTCAGCTACAATAATAAAGTGGCATTCTCTGAATCTATGGTACCCACAAGCAGCTCTGTTCTGATCAACAAAGTTGAGGCATCTAAACCTTTAAAAGAAGTACCACATATATTGTATCACAGTAGTCAACCCTGGATGTAAAGCAGGAATAAATGACAGGTTCTGCCTTCTCTAAATAAGGTTTGTTGTTTAGTCATTAAGTTGTGTCTGACTATTCGTGACCCCATGGACCAGAGCATGCCAGGCCCTTCTGTCTTCCACTGCCTCCCGGAGTTTGGTCAGATTCATAAATAAGGTTACAACTAACTAAATCAGCTAAAGTTGACAGAAGGTACAAGTGGTGCCTCGCTTAATGAGCGCCTCGTATAGTGATGAATCTGCATAGCGATCCCTTTTCTGGGGTACTTGGTCCTATACTATGTAAGTCACTTGAGGATGGCACACTTTCAGCTGAGTCCAGAAAACACATCACTTGTTCAGCTACAATAATAAAGTGGCATTCTCTGAATCCATGGTACCCATAAGCAGCTCTGTTCTGATCAACAAAGCTGAGGCATCTAAACCTTTAAAAGAAGTATCACATATATTGTATCACAGTAGTCCACCCTGGATGTAAAGCAGGAATAAATGACAGGATCTGCCTTCTCTAAATGTTGTTGTTGTTTAGTCATTAAGTTGTGTCTGACTCTTCGTGACCCCATGGAGCAGAGCATACCAGGCCCTTCTGTCTTCCACTGCCTCCCAGAGTTTGGTCAAATTCATACTAAGGTTACAACTAACTAAATCAGCTGAAGTTGACATAAGGTACTTCTAAATACTAAAGCCAACTGTATTTCCAACCTCGCTATGCGAGGCACCACTTTACTTCTAAATACTAAAGCCAGCTGTATTTCTAAGTGAGACAGCAGAAAAGTACACACATGTGGGTTTACATTCTTTGATTGTCCTGGTCTATTAGGAAAGTACTTGTGGAGAGATCAGGGGGCCTGCTCCTCACTCCTCCTCATCCTAATTACAGTTCTTATAGTATCCACCCAAAGTTTGGAAAGTAATTTTATGTAGTAAATAGTATACTCTTAATAATTGTTTTCTTGTTGAAGTTGTTCTGCTTAATTTGCTTTCACTTTCCCCATTTTCCTTTCTGTATTCCCTATTATTTTAGAAAAAAATTTAAAAAGGTAAAGAGGGGAAAAATACAAGCCCTCCAGTATTTCAGGAGAATTTTAGGTCAAGACAGGTCCTTTCAAGATGCTATTAATTGTGCAGATTAATCTTAAGACAAAACTTCTTAAGAGATGTGAGGCTGAATCCGACTGGGTTTTTCCATGTTCGCAAGAGAAGCATGTAGAACCTGCGTGTTCATAGGCAAGGTGTTGGGTGTGCGCTGGGTGTGTGATCAGGCACACGTCTGACGTGACACTAGCAACTCGTGCATTAGTAGCTGCAGCTTCTGTGTTTCCTCTTCTGCGTGCATACAGCCCTACAAGGATTTATAATCATGTTTTAGATTCGAAGAGAGGCTAGAGGCATGAGCAGGAGCTTAAAAAATAACTTTATTTCAAAAAGTCTAAAACCTCTTTGTTCAAAGAATCAATTACTAATTATCTTTAGAGATGCTCCTTGAAATTCCTAATTCCTGAGTGATGATAAATCTATTGATGTAGATAATAGGTTTTGTGATTGTGGATGCTACACTGTCGCAAAACCTATTATCACACAGGTGATCATCACCAGTGTTTGGGACTTACCGTATTTCTTTGCTTTTATCCTGGAACCTGTCTTTTCAGGTGATCATCACCAGTGTTTGGGACTTATTTCTTTGCTTTTATCCTGGAATCTGTCTTTCGGGTGACACTAAATGTTTGCTTGGGTCTTTTTACCAAGGCTGGCTGGACAATTTGGTGGTTAAGGCATCTGGTTATTGAAGAGAGGTTGGGAGTTTGTTTCCCTGCTGGACCTTCAGGCAGAAGAGCCAGCCTATGTAGCCTGGGGCAAACTAATAAAATGTCAAGCTAAGCTGGATAAAGTTGCTTTCTTGGACAGAAGCTCATACCCTTCGCCAGCCTAGCCATGGGTCAGAATCCTCTGATGTCAGAGTGAGGTCATGCCTGGAGAGGCTGATTTTCTGCAAACTGAGGGACAGTTATCGGTAACAGTCAGCTTCAGAATTAACCATGTCAGGATGGATTTTCTGAGGTCAAGGCAAGACTTGGCAGTGGGCTATGTTGCCCCTTGAGATTAACTGTGGCATAATGGATAGAGTGTCAGGCAGTGACTCAGGAGGCCTGGTAGGGGAGGGTTCAAATCCCCTCTTTGCCACAGAAACCCTCTGGGGAGTGGAAAAGACAAACCTGTCCTAGAACATCTATATTACAAAATCCCTGTTAGGACTGCTAGAAATAACAGATGACTTGAGGAGCCCATGACAGTGATAAGATCTCTTCCTGGGTAGGGAAATTTTAGAAGGGCTTTTCGTGAAAATTTTGATCCTGCTTTTCTGCCGGTTTTGCCAAGAACTTGCAAAAGATCCCTTTTTGGGCCACAATTCCCAAATTCCTAAGCTAGGATGACTGCCACACATCACAAGAGGGTACTGTAAGACCTTCTTGAAGGAGGAGGAGTCCGTCCCTGAGGTGATTTTTGGTGTGTAGTCTCCTTCCATCTTTTGCCAAGTAATGGACTTTGATTCAGCCCACAGGAAGATAAACTAATGTCTCACTTCTTTTCTTCTCCTTTCACAGGTCTGGGGCAGCCTTGCTATTAGGCTGAGTGAGGCAGCCAATTTCAAGTCTCCAGCAGGATCTGCACAATATTTTATGTCTCATGTTGGCTTCCTGAGAGGTATGTCTGTGTAACATTTTCTGCCTCAAGAGTCCAAATAATTTAGACTGTCCTCCATACCGGACACCTTGATTTAACCCAAGCTGGAAAGCGGAAGACTGGAGAAACTCCTTACTGTATTTTTCGCTCTGTAAGATGCACTTTTCCCACCAAAAGTGGGAGGGAAAGTGTGTGTGTCTTATGGAGCGAATATGGTAAAAAAAGGGAGTGCAATTTAAATTCTAACTGTAGGTGGGAAAGAGGCTGCTTCTTGGTAGCTCTTTTGCCCCAACAGTTGGGAAAAAGCTGCGGAGGAAGGGCAGGTAAGCGCCGTAAGATCTACGGGGGTGAGGGTGGCGATTTCGGCTTGCTAGGCCCACGGGGTGGGTGGGTGGAAGATGGTGGTTTCAGCCTGGTAGGCCTGCGGGGGTAGTGATGGAAGACTGCTGGGAAGGATCTGAGAAGGGAAGATGGCGGTTTTGACCCTTCCCAGCCATCTTCCACCAACCCCCTGTTGCAAACAGCTATGATGTCACCTGTCCTTCAAGGTTTAGGCTGGAGTGTTAACATCCAATGGTGGTCGGAAGGCGGGACATCAGGGGGAGGAGCTGGGATATATAGGGGTGTGAATGTGTGTGAGGGGAGATCAGGATCTGTGAGTGTTGAGATGAGATAGTGATCAGATTGTGTGGAGATAGGAGTCTGTGTGAGCTAGAGCCTTTCTTTATGTGATTACCTGATTTATTTGTTATACCAATCTTAATGTACCAATCAATAAACTTTAGTTATTTTGTTTGAAATCCATTCCGGCCTGAAGATACTTATTGCAGGGGATGGTTGGTGGCAGACTACCAGAAGAGTAACAGTGGAGTGACGTAGCGACCTTCCTTGGTGAGGTAGAAGGAGGCCGTTACACCCCCCTTGCGGGCCTAGCAGGCCGAAACCGCCATCTTCCCTTCCCTTCCCAGACCCTTCCCAGCCATCTTCCACCACCCCCCCCAGGCCTAGCAGGTCGAAATCGCCACCTTTCCTTCCCAGCCATTTTCCACCACCACCATCCCAAGAATTTTTCATGGTTGTGCAATCACCACATCAGAGAGTGATCCCCAACACGATCGCTCATGTTTTCAGAGTGAGCAATTTTGGGATTTTACAAATGGCTGTAAGGCCGGCAAAATTGGTGAGTACACTGACGTGTAACTTGTATTTTAAAAAAATGTTCACACTTCACTGTGATAAGGGTGTGTGTGTGTGTGTGTGTGTGTGTGTGTGTGTGTGTGTGTGTGTGTGTCAGAATCAAGGGTGAATCTCTGGTTGTATATGTCTGCTTTTGTTTTATGTTTTATATCTTTGTTTCATGTTGCACCATTGTGGTCATTTTGACCTATGAAGAAGCAGTTCAGATGCCTCCCCATGGGTCAAAATGACCACAGTGGTACAACATGTGGGGTGTCTGTGCAACAGTAAAAGTTACTAGAGTGTCCGCCCAGAGTGGAAATCCTGAAAGACTTCAGACAGCAGGTAGAATCGACAGTGAACAGAACCAGTAAAGGGCCAAAATTATCCAAGACTCACCTTGCTGAGGCAAGAAAGCCAGTGGGATTTCTGATCACCTTACTGGGACAGTGGTGCATAACCGCTGATAGGCAGGCTATAGGAACATTCAGACTCAGTTAACTGACATAAATTTTGTGGGTGGGTGATAGGAATAAGACTAGAAACCAACAAGGACCCCCGAGCGCAGGATAAGCAACAATGGGCTCAAGTGACAGCAAGCCAGTTTTCAGTTGTATATCCGGGAAAACCTTCCTGTTAGAGCAGTATGCCCAAAAACCTTCCTAACTGTTAGAGCAGTATGCCCACGGAACCAATTACCTTGAGAGGTTGTGAGTGCTCCCACACTGGAAACATTCAAAAGAAATTTGAACAATCACCTGGTAGATATCCTGATCTGTATTCCTGCTTAAAGGAGGCATTAAGCAGAGGGTTGGACTCCATGACCTTATAGGCCCCTTCCAAATTCATTATTCTGTGATTCCATGATTTTCATTCTGGTCAGTCCAGAATTATTTGGTCCAGTTTTTTGCTTCAGGACCAGACTCTATATAGGATAAGAATCTGTTGAGGTCAGTTCAAAAATATATATCCAGCAATATGGGATTGGGCCCTTCCAAAATCCCTACAGGTACCCCACGGGACATTGTCCTTAAATGTGGAAGAAGTGGCCAACTGCTGGACTCAGTAAAAAAAAAAAAAGACTGATTGCATTGTGAATTTTTGAGCAGCCACAATTTGCAACACTCTATGGCCAGTTGATGGTATCTTTGGCAATAAATCAGTAAATTGTCTACTGAAAGAGCCAAAATGGTCCCATGACATGGTTTACCTACACGTTCCTCGCCTACATTGTCTCGGTCAGAATTTAGGAAAAAAAGGTGGAATCTCGATGGGGGACAGGTTGCTATTCCCATTCCTCTCCAAGCTCTTCTCCAGTCAGTTCCAGTGCCCACGGCCACTGCAGGAGTTTTAAACCCTTACAAAGTCCCTTTTGAACCACTGATCCAGTTTCCTGGCAAAACAAGACGCATAGAATATGAGATGATCCAGATTTGGTCCATTAAGGATTGAAAACAATGTTTCAGACATACAAACCCACTTGGATTGATGTCCAGCAGCTCCTTCCTGCCCTTTGGACTCAGGATGAAGAAAAGGAAGTGATACGCCAGGTAAATGCAAGGCTTCAAAAACAAAAACTGAATTCCCAGAGTCCATACAAGCTGGTATGGAGAAAGCCGTCAAACATCCTATTAACATTGATCATGTCACAGCAACCAGACAACAGAAGGATGAACACCTCAGCGGTGATTTCTGGAAATATGGGGGAATAGATCCTGAAGCCCAACTAAGAGCAATGACATCAGTTTAGTGAAGTATGAAGAAGCTGTTGAAATACCAACAAAACCTCATCTCTCTTCACCACATATTCCACAATATCCCCTCAGACATGAGCCTAGAGAAGGGGTAAAAGCTTTAATTGATTCATACTTACAGAAGGGCCTATTGGTCCACTGCCAGTCTCCTTATAATACCCCTCTATTGCCAGTCCAGAAACCCAGACCTGGTCTGGCTGGAAAGCCTCTCTTTTGATTTGTACAGGATTTGAAGGCTCTGAAACATGCACCCTGGAAAATCTACAGAGGAAATCTGTGATTGCACTTGAGGATA